TGTAAGTTCCTTTACTAACTTAAAAGTGTGACCTAAGTCTGCAGTTTAGCCAATATTTCTCTTTTCTGTGTGTGTGTGAATCCCTCATTGAGACTTCAAGAATTTTTTTCTAGTTGAATAGTTGTAAGAATTGAGAAGCACTCTATTGAAGGAAAAGAGATTGTATCCCTCTTTTAAGAATCTTTATGCTACAAATGAGAGTAGCTTATTAGAGAAAAGCCCTCTACCTTAGGGAAAATGATGATTTTAAGGATTATGAACCTGTCATTCTGTAAGTTATGAGCTGGAGGCAGCATCTGAAGTTTTGATTAATCTGCTCATTATTCAGTTGACCCTACTTGCTAGCCTTGACAGCAAGGAGAAGGATCTGCAGTGCTAATGTTACTTCAAGTAGAAAAACATGGAATTTGCTTCTCAAATGCAAGATGATGAAGCTCTCTAAGTAGTGGTCAATTCTGTGGAAAAGCAATTCAGAAAAAAAGGTACTGTGTGGCTTGAACTTTGTGCTTCCAAGAAGCTTGGTGCTTCCCTCTACCCTTTGGAGAATTCCAGGCCAACAGGTCTGATCTATACTTGTGGCTCACGTGTCTCTACCAAACAAAGAAAGCATGCTGATAACTAAGAATTAAAGTAAGACCGAAAGCATATTCTTTCTTCCATTCCTTTCCTCTTGAGTACTCACATGCCAGATACCTTACTGCATGCTGGGAAGACAAAGGGGATAAAAATGCAAACAGGTTGCAGATTGATCCTGCAATCTGTATACACGTGGAAAAATAAGAATTCATACCCCATTTGAACCAAATGTATGATATGTCAAGATCATTGTAATGTTTTGAGCAACTAATAAAAAAATTTTTAAAAACTGCCTTCCCTATGGCACCAAGCACTCTGAGTCCAAAATGCACATCTCTGTTGATCTCTCTGGCAACTTGAGCCTGCATAAGGTTTTCTTTACAAACACACAAGAGTGAACCAAAGAAATACCTTAATGATATTAGGCCATATGTATTGATTGAGCTTTTTCTGTTTGACAAGATTGCCCTAAGCACTTGACATGTATTTACTCATTTCATTCTTTTAATGACCCTACAAAATAGAAACCGACATTATCCTCACTTTATACCTAAGCCAGCAAAACTTTCAAAAAACTGCCTCCACATTTGTACAACTCGGTTCCAGCTTATAGGTAATGAGGATGCCAGTTGATTTTTCCTTGCTCAAAAACATCAGGTAAACCAACTGGAAAGGTTTTGGAGAATAAAGAGACATTCTTTCATAACCACAGAAATGAGTTCCCCAAGACAAAGGAGGTAAGTATCAACAACACAGCTACCTGGACATGCTCTAGGCGAACACAGCCACGTTCATAGATCAGGCCTTGCTTTGTCTACACCTAAGCCCTGACTCCAGGAAGTCTCACACTTGTGAATTCAGATAGCTGCTTGCAAAAATAAGCTTGTGAAAATGAAGCAAGAAGCAGAAGACTTGTTGAGATTAGACTGAATAAGGAAGGCTTTTTAAAAAGCAAGAGAAATAAACACGTACATTTTTCTAGTACCTTTTGCTCTATTGCAATGCCTTATCTAAGTAACTCAGAGGAAAGTGAACCATTAGAGGGGTTAAAGGGCCCAAAATTGTGCCTGAAATTGATGCTATTGGCATCCTTGGAATGGGACAATGAGGAGTGCATGACAGACAGATACACGGAGGTGCCAGTGGGGCAGGGTGAACTAGAAGATACAGGTGGATCACAAAAATAACCATCAAGGCTATGAGAGCTTCTTACATTTGAGTTCTTTGCAGGTATAAGCTTCTGGGGTCTCCACCTGTCCAGGTCTCTAGTCAAGGAGCTAGATGAGGAACGGACAATAAAAATAGGAAAACTAACTTCCCCACCACAACAATATTTCATAAGGAGCTAGATGAGGACTAGAAATAATAAGTAGGTAAATTAACCTCCCCACCACAAAAACACGGTTGTCTGTAAAAGGAAGAAAGCCATTCCAACCAACAAAGAAAGGAGCTCCAACTTACCATGGAAGATCAAGAAAGGAAATGACTTTTTATATTTTTCTGCCTAAGGAACAAGCACGGAAAAGAGAAAGGAAGAAGAAAGCAAGCAGACCACACTTCATTCCTCCCCTTGAAATATTTGGAGGGTCTTGCCTCCTTTGCAGAAGRAAGGAGCTTGCGATTAAAGATGAGATGAACAAGTTCAACAGACCAGATGCTTTAATAATTAAAGATGGCAGAAGTTATGGAGTCAAACTGAAATATTGGCAAAGAATTCCACAGCACAGAGGGTACAGCAGGATATAAGAGTTAAAAGGCAAACACCCAGTGAGCCTCAAGCCATTTACCATAATTGAGGTTAAAAAAAAAACCTTTAATATAAAAATAATATCAACATCATCTTAAACTATACCAATTCAAAATATGACACTTTTTAAGAAAATTCATAAGCCAAATAATATAATTTGGAAGCCAACTCAATTGTGAATGTCCTATTAACTTAATAAATATTTGATATTAAAAAATTTCCAGCGTAGGAACTTAAAAAGTGCACACAGATGAGCAATTAATTCTTCTGTAATCAGATGTCCATTGACAGATAAGATCAGCAATAAACAAATAAAAGAAGAAACGATTTACACTTGCATTTGTGACTGGATCCTTGGCCAGACTTGCCAAGAGCCACCATCAGTACTGCTTTTGAAATATCTCAGTTTGTTTTTTTCCATGGATAGTGATTAAGAAATAACTTGTAAAGGACAAATAAYTTGCTATATAAAATTATATTTTTAAATGCATCTTTCTGTTTTATTTTGCCTTAAAGATGATATTTTAAAGCTGAAGGTACAGGTTATCATCAAGTTCAGTGTTGACAGGATAAGGCATGAGGATCTCACATTATAGGACCTAATTCCCCCTTCACTATACTCAGAGTTCTCAGCTCTTTTCTTTTGGTGAAATTCTTTTCCTTGTTCAAAACCAAGTATGTGATTCCTATTTCATTGCTTTCTCCCAAATTTGGGGAACATGTGAGAATATGTAATATTTTTTTCTGGAATCAACAAACTTAATGTTCCTGACAGAGACTATTTTCCTGTATCCTGTCCACACCTCATGCCCAAAAGAAAAGCCTTTATAGTCTGCACCCCTCTTCATATCTACTTTGTAAGGCTTATGTTCAAAACCTCAAGGTTCCTCAGAGACACTCCATGAATCTTTCCAACAGTGCCTCTGCCTGTCCCAAACTAGATCATGCCCCTAGACCCTCCTGTTTGTGAATACAAGTCAGAGACTCTGTCAAACAGGATTGTTTCTCTTCATCTTTACAACTCAAGCAAAGTAATTTTGGGGAATCTGCAATGGGTCATTCTCTGACATAAGCGGGAGAGTCAAACTAATTATGCATGAATTTCATTTGCTTTATGTCATGTTCAACTAAGATACATGAAGATTCTCCTTTTGGCTTTTGATAAGCCTCTAGTCTTTACAAGGATCCTAGTTTCGGCTGTTTTGTTTTAGAAACAGAAAAGAGTCTAAGACATTCCTTTGTTCTTCCTTCACTTAATTCCCACATACAATTGGTCATCCAGTTATGTTCATTATATTTTGGAAAATGTATCTAAACTCTGTCTTTTCTAGTCCTATGACCTTCCTAATACTCCTAATGAATCGTTGCAAAACCCACCTATTTCTCACCATGAAATCAAATCATTTGAAGGAAGCAATATCTTACTTGTGTGCTATTATTGGACACTTTTTAAGTTCCTACACAGTGTAGAGTGGTAAACCTTATAAAAACAACATTTTAAGGTTCGTAGAAAATCACTCAACAGTCCTAAAGCAGTGATTGGAGGATGAGTCAGTCATTTCCCACTCACAGTTTTAAGGTGTTGGGAAAACAGATTGATTCCTCTTGGAACACTTTTTATTTGATGAAGAGAAACTACACAATCTGCTTTTTATTTTACAAACACTTGTCTTTAAACTTAAGGATTTGGGGTGGAAATTGAAAGAACAGGTGGATAAGGCATCGTCTGTTAAATTTAATATTTTTAATAAGGTGGCAAAAAATAGAATATTGAGGTCCAAGAAAGATTTAAGAATGTCAAAGTGGTAGAAACTTTATTTTTTATTTATTTAATTTATTTGTTTTATTTAATTTATTTAATTTATTTATTTGATACTAGTAATTGAACCCAAGAGCACCTCACCACTAAGCCGCATCCCCCAGCCCATTTTTATTTTTTATTTTGAGACAGGGTCTCCCTAAGATGTTTAGGGCCTCCCTATGTTGCTAAGGCTGTCTTTGAATTTGCGATGCTCCTGCCTTAGCCTCCCAAGTCCCTGGGAATACAGGTGTGTGCCACCAAGTCTAAGGCTAGCTCGGTGCCTATGCATACATAACAGGCATCGCTTGCATGTAGACTCCATCCCTCGCCCAATTCCCAGACCAGAATGTTGCTCCTTTTTTGTGCTTCCTTTGTCATAGGTCATAACATCCATCATAGTTCTTATTTTTCGTCTCCATGGAAGTTCCATAAGCTCCACTATTTTACCTCCACATCTACCACAAACTCTTAGCCCAAATATGCTAAAATAAGAATAGCTAGACAGTGAATAACTGTAGGGTAACTGCAGTCCTAGGAAAGAGATCCCTGTGATAGGAAGTCTAAGTAAGAAGTTTTTATTAAAGTTAAACACACGCTGATCGTGAGGGCAACAGGATTTTCAAAGGCACGTGATTAGTGGTGCCATACGTTGGGCCTTGTTTGTACATGCAGGGGAAACAAACTAAAGAAGCTCTCAAATCTTGGTCATGTGCAGCCAGATCTGGCACAAGGCGAGACCTCCATCTCCCCAGGGGGCGCTGTACAGAATCGCCCACGGTACCGCGGTGYAAGCACTAGGACTCATTTCCGCCCCGGAAGCATTTCCGCCCTGCCGGGCTTGAGCGTTCCGTGACGTATTTCCAGTTAGCTGACCTGAGCACTAGTGGCCTGAAAGGAAGTTACGTCCACTCTGAGGACGGAAAACCAGTGCAGTGGCAGCAAGGTGAAGGCGTTTCTCCGGCATCATGTCTCACCTGCCGATGAAACTTCTGCGCAAGAAGATCGAGAAGCGGAACCTCAAATTGCGGCAGCGAAACCTAAAGTTACAAAGTGAGCTGAGTGGTGGCGGAGGAGGGCCCCGTGCGGCGGGGCCGGTGGCGCTGGGTGGGAAGTCCCCGCGGCTCCTAGAAGCGCCGCAGTTTCCCGGGGCACGTGGGATCGCGGTTCGCTAGCAGGCACCCTGGGGCAGCATCCTGTCAGGTCCGCGCCACTCTCCACCAGCCGGGTGGCCCAGGACCGCTTCTGACCCTTCTGAGCATCAGTTCCTCCCTTCAGAGTTAGAAAAGGAGGCCGCTGGGTTGACTTCTCGGCTTCCAGCGGGGCTTGCAACTAAACCTGCCTTTTGCACTTCACCTTAACCCATTTTGACTCTCAGCAGCTTCAGGCTCCACTTCGTCCCCCTTCTCTCCCATTCTAGTCAGACACGTGGAGCTAACTTTCTACGCACCTTTTCCGTCTTCTATTTAATTTCTGTAATCCCAAAACAATTTTAGATTTTGCTCTCTTAATAGAACTTTCCTGATACCATCACCACCCTGCTGGCTCTTCACTCCTTATTATCAGCTCAGAAAGTGTCTTCTGCACACGTGAAAATTTGCCTCTCCTGCCATTTATTATTATTGTCGCTCCCAACTTGAGGCTCAAAGAGCTTCTATATATGTGTGTACTGCCCTATGACTTAATTAGGATTTGAAGTTTATATTCCTGACAGTGGGCCACAGATAATGAAGTCATTGTGTTATCCATTTGGATTCCATATTAGGTATAAATTCCCCCCTATACACACACACCAGGGGAAATATTGGAGGCATATTGTGTCACCCCAAGTGGTTTTCAATAGACATTGATTGATTGAAAGAAATTCTGGAGTGAGCAGAATTGAGCAGGGAAACTTTTGTAATGACATCCTTGGGTATTTGTACATAATATATATTGGGACAAATAGTGATTTCATTAACTGAAATTTCAATTTACTAAAGTCTAGGAGAGTTAGTGTTGAGTGTTGTAAAATTATGAGACATGGTACTTGTGTGAATAATATGAAATGCCTTTTTCAGTGTAACAATTAGTTATATTTGTCAGATACTTTAAATGTATATTTTGTAACTGCCATTGTCTGTGCCCATCATATTTAACCTTGAAGTTTTCCTTTCTCAACTCCTTAAAGAGGGGTCTTTTGAAGTTAAGAAATCATTGTAACTTTCTGTTTTCCAGCAGAATGTCTACTTTTCCTATAGTAGAACACCAACTTTATGTTCATTTTAACAATGAACATACAAGAAGTAGCTAAATAATTTGAGTCTTCGAAACCTTGGAATTTTTTATGTGAAAATGTTTACACATAAGCCCCCCTTCCTTCTGTTCTGTTTTTAAACAGGGGCCTCAGATGTGAACCTATCAGAAACTCAAAATGGTGATGTGCCTGAAGAAACAATGAAAGTCAAAAAAGTTAAAAAATCCCTGAAGCGTTCTATAACTGTGGGCTTGTCAGAAGTGCAAAATGTAGATATGTCTGAAGAAAACGTGGAAAATATAAAAGTTAAAAAATCCCTGAAGCATTCTGTGAATGTGGGCCTGTCAGAAGCACAAAATGGAGATAAGTCTGAAGAAATAGTGGAAAATATAAATGTTAAAGAATCCCCCCAGTCTACCATATTAACCAATGGAGAAGCAAAAACACAGTCTCCCAGTTCAGAAACAAAAAAGAAAAAGAAGAAGAAAAAGAGAAAAATGGCAAATGATGCTGGTCCTGGTAGGTACTTTGTTCTTTGAACTTCAGCCATCTTATTCAAATAGTTTCTCATAGTCATCCCACCTTCCTTCTATTGTTGCTGTTGTGTGTATGTGACATGTAAGAATTCCCCTGTGCTCCTCAGCATATCAGAGACTAGCTTTGTAGCTGAAGGAAACATTATAATACTAGAGATATGTTTTAACTTTCATCAAAATATTCAGCAGTGTGTCATGTTACATTCTTTAACCTTGAAAAAAGCCGCATACCTAGATAAGAACTTATTTAGAATTAAAGCAATGTGCTTTTTGTGGGTTTTTTTGTTTGGTTGGTTGGTTTGGGGCAGTTGTCTGAACTTTTTGTGATAAATAGAACATACTATGGTATAGTATTTTAGGTTTGCTTATTTCCAAACAGAATTGTAGAGTTATTAAAACTAAAGAAATCTGGGCTCGTGGTAAGGTCTCTCTCTCCTGGCCTTTCTGTGTCAAGGGTTTTCACATTAATGATTCTATTGGTTTTTCTCATTTTGGGYCCCATATTTTCCTTTTTCTTACCATAAAGTCTTCTCCTTTTAAAAAGAGTCTTAATTGCAAATTGTATAAAATAGCATTTAGGAAAAGTTTTAAACAAAGAGAATGTTAATTTCCAAATGAGTAACATAGACAAGATAATGATGAGGGAGGGGAGAGGAAAGATGATGATTGCATGTAATAAACTCAAGCATTTTAATGAGATGTGGACGTGTAGAGATTTCCAGGCAAAGGATAGAATAGGGGTTGTCAAACTATCTGGCTTTCCACCAATTTTTTAAGTAAAACTACTAGATCTCCATATTGCCCATTTGTTTACATTGCTTTTATTGCAACAGAGATCATATGGCCTGCAAAGCCCAAAATATCTATTAGCCCTTTATAGAAAGTTTGCCAGCCCTAGAGTTAGAAAATCATGAGTGCATCTTGTCTGAAGATAAGGTTTCTTTTAGAAAGGAGCTTTCTAAAAGAAGTTTCCTAAAGTATGACTGTTTTCTTGTTGTCTACAAACTAATAAATTTCTGGATGACGAGAAATTGCTTAATAAATAGTGAAAACTGAAGCTTAGGAATTAGTTTTTATGTAAAGTGATTTCAGTCCTAATGTAAAATTATTAATGGCTTCAAGAGTCTTCTGAATATGCTCAAGGAAGTAACATTTCTAATCTAAATCATATTATTGGAATTTTTAACCTATGGGTAAACTTTAAAGAACTGTTCTGCAGAAAACATGGAGAACAGCTGGTGGTGTCCATGACTTTTGACCTTTGCTTACAGAGTTGACCAGTTCCCAGAAGAATTTCAGTAAGGTACAGTGCTGGGCTACAGAGCCCAGAGTTTTGGGTTACGTCTTTTCTCTTCAAACTAGCATCAATGGGTGCCATAAATTTCTATTAAAAGCCCAACATCGTAATAAACCCAGTTGAGCCAGAAGGAATGTTTTAAGAGARTTATGGGAAGTGTGACTGGAAATGCATTTTGGGACCATGTTATGCAAGTTGTGAATGTAAAGCCTCCTTCAYCTTTTGAAACCTAGCATCAGTCTAGTTCTTGTCACCCAGTTAAGTAAATCATTGCCTTTGCTTTATAGTCCATCTCTAGGAAAATGATATCTTCTGTTTTTTCTGTTCATCTTTCAAATTAAAGTGGCTGTTACAGAAAAGGAATGGTAAATGGCATGAGGGTCATATAAGCGCTTGTAAGGAGTTTTTAGAAATTACATTCACCACATATGCTCTTTTTTTACCCAGTGGTGAGGTGTGTGAAAATTGTGACTAGTATCTTTATATTATTTAAGTCAACTCATAAGAAGTTTTTAAATGAGATGCTATAGTTCATTTAGAAGCCTAAAATAGGGGGTTGGTGTAGTTCAGTGGTAGAGTGCTTTCCCAGCATGTGTGAGGAATTGGGTTCAGTACTAAGCACCACATRAAAATAAATAAATAAAAATTTTAAAAGAAGCCTAAAATTATAGTTTTTGAAAAATCTTATGTACCCTGAATTTTTAAATGACATCTCTTTTTATGAAAAGGAGATATTCTGACAATATCAAATATGTTAGGCTTTGGAAAATATACCTCTTTGCATCACAAGTCATTTGTTTATCTCATTTGATATTTTTGTTTTAAGAAAAAAAAATTGTTTTCTCTTTTAAAACCAAAGATACAAAAAAAGTAAAAATTGAAGAAGGCTCTGAAGCTCCTGAAGAAACAGAAAACAGTGTGGAAAAGTCAGCTGGTGAGGAAGAGGACAGTGAAGTACCCAGCCTGCCCCTGGGACTAACAGGTAATTTGCAGGAAATTTTCCAGATACACCTTCTCAAAAATATGTGTCTGGCCAGACATGGTAGTGCACACCTAGAGGCTGAGGCAGAAGAAGCCCAAGTTCAAGGCCAGTCTCAGCAGTTTTAACAAAGGCTCTAAGCAACTTAACAAGACTCTATCTAAAATAATAAATAAAAAGGGGCTGAGGATGTGWCTTAGTTGTAATGAGCCCCTGAGTTCAATCCCTGGTACAAAAAAAAAGAGTAGGTTATGGAATTGAAGCTTCAGTTGTGACTTTTAGTTTAGCTGGAAAAAAGTAACTGAGAAATTCTTTATGTATCTTTCTGCTGCAGTTTTTCCTCTTCATCTTCTACCTCATGGTGCCATAGTACTTTTGTTTCTTCCTTTGTTCTTTTCTTTGTTCCTAACATATTTTTGTACATGTGCAGCTTCTGGGATCCTATGTTTTATTGATTTATCCTTTTATAAGGCTCTGTCCTTGTTGCAGTAGGGAAATCATGGCCTAGAAATTGACACCAGAGGTTTAGGCTCAGTTACTAATAAGGAGGGAAAGATAAAATTGACTTTATTGAGGAGCAGACTTGCCAAGTTAATCTCCTTTGACTTTTATTCTTTTATAAAGTCAAGAATTTAGATTAGAATTCACAGCTCTTAACCAGAATTATCTAGAAACTACATGAGCTATTTTTGGCTGGGGCTTTTTTATTAAGAGGTTAAGATCCAACCCTAGACATGCTTGATCAGTTATAAAGGTTGGCTGGTGGTGTAGCTCAGTGGTAGATTACTTCCTAGCATGTATAAASTCCTGGGTTCAACCTCTGGCACATTAAAAAAAAAAGATGTGCTAGTTATGGCAGTAATTTTCAACAAGAAATAGGTAGAGTTCTCAACCCTACCAGATAGAGTTACTAAAGCTATCCTGGTTTGCCCAGAAATTTCCCAGATTTAGCACTGAAAGTTCTGTATCACAGGAAATCTCCTGTCCCAGGTATACCAGGAAGAGCAGTCACCCTGTTCCTAGGAGATGTTCTTGGTTGTCAGATCTAGGAGAAGTCTGTGTAGAGGGTAAAAGTCAGGAATGCTGTGTAACTTTATAATATATAGGCTAGCCTCCCACACCAAAGAGTTATTCTGTTTGGGGATGTGGCTAAGTGATTTAGCACCGACCTAGTATGAATGAGGCCCTGGATTCAGTCCTCAGCACTGAAAAGAAAGAGAATTATACAGCACATAATGTCAGTTCAGCTGTTCCTTAGATGGGACTGTATCCCAATGAACTTACTTCAGGTTGAAATTCTAAATCAAAAATGCATTTAATATACCTAACATCATCACTTCACCCACATTACACATGTTCTGAACTCCTCACGTTATTAGTTCAGATGTTACTTAGATAAAACTGTATCGTATCCCAGTAAACTTACTTTAAGTTGAAAACGTAAATCAAATATACATGTAATACACTTAACTTTATCACATAGCCTACATTAAACATGCTCTGAACTCTTCTTACAAACCCTGTCTTGTAATTTATCTCATGTAATTTATGAAATACCTGAGAGTGAAAACTAGAATAGCTGTAAGATGTGCTTTTACATTGTTTTAAAGGTGAAAAATTGTAAGTTGAGTCATCTGTCATAAGTTAGGGAYCATCAGAAGTGCCAAGGCTGAGAATCCCTGATTTACACTTGCGCAAGGCAGAGTGGGGAACTCCCCAGCATGTGTCTGATGCCACCCTGCTAAGAACCACCACGCCACTTGATATGTAGGGTCATTCTAAATCAAACTTCTTAAATATTTCATTTCTTTCTGGACTCTCACCCTCACCACTATCTTGGCATTTCCATTTCATGAAAGTACCATAATTCTTCCTCTCTGCCCCTTACTACAGTATGGAATTAGATTTTAAAGCACACAGCCATCATCAGTGGAAAAATATATTTAGGACTTTTTTCTTTGTATTATTACATAGGAATGATTGAAGTTGAATTTTTTTCTATAAAAAGATCTAAATAAAACTTTAGGCAACTATAAATGACAATATTTACTTTTAAAGAAATAAGTTTGCTAATGATAAATTGTCTTCTGTTTAGGAGCTTTTGAGGATACTTCATTTGCTTCTCTAACTAATCTTGTCAATGAAAACACTCTGAAGGCAATAAAAGAAATGGGCTTCACGAACATGACTGAAATTCAACATAAAAGTATTAGGCCACTTCTAGAAGGCAGGTATGATAACATTGATGCTTGGACATTAGTGTCTATTTTTAGGACTGTAAAWTTGTAAATATGAGTATGTTTTGTTGATTTTGATATATCCAACTTGTACTGAAACCTTTAAGTTATTTGCTAATTATTTGAAGAAAGATATTTATTTCTGTTCTATAACAGTTCGTATTTCTGAGCTAAGTATATAACCAAGATGGTTGATTCACCAATAGTGAAGGCAGGAACTGGGTCTGTCTTCATGGTTCAGCTTAGTACCTAAAATGTGTGCTTAGTATGTGTAGGGTATTCAGTGAATATTTTTTTAATGAGTAGATTGAATATCTTCCTCTTTTCCTTTTTAATATTTAGGGATCTTTTAGCAGCAGCAAAAACGGGCAGTGGTAAAACCCTCGCATTTCTCATCCCTGTGATTGAACTCATTGTTAAGTTAAAGTTCATGCCCAGGAATGGTAAGCTTTTGATCAGTTTCTGGCATTATTGCACTAAAAGTTTGCTATGGGTTTTAGAGACTCAGTGGTGACTTCAAAGTCTTGCTTTTTTTGCTTTTTAGGAACAGGAGCTCTTATACTCTCACCTACTAGAGAACTGGCCATGCAGACTTTTGGTGTTCTTAAGGAGCTGATGACTCACCACATTCACACATATGGGTTGATCATGGGTGGCAGTAACAGATCTGCTGAAGCACAGAAACTTGCTAATGGGATCAACATCATTGTGGCAACACCAGGACGGCTCCTGGACCACATGCAGGTAGAGCACTGTTACGTAGTGCCTCCTCTTATTATCTTGTATGAAACATACATTTGACAACTGACAGTTTTTCTTTTCCTTTTTATTAGAATACCCCAGGGTTTATGTATAAAAACCTACAGTGTCTGGTTATTGATGAGGCCGATCGTATCTTGGATGTTGGATTTGAAGAAGAATTAAAGCAAATTATTAAACTTCTGCCAAGTAAGTAGGTTGCATCTACATGTGACTTGCATAATAGCAATCAAAGATTAATTAATTAATACAATAATTAATAATTAATTGATGCAATAATTTTCCTATGGGAGCAACCATTGCTGAACAACCATATTGTATTAACATCAGAATTTTATTGTGGCTGTATGATGTACTTATGCCAATCATTCTTAGAGGTAATTTGGAATGCATGCATCAAGCTTTGTTTTTGTTGTTGTCGTTTAGTTGTTGATGAACCTTTATTTTATTCATTTATTTATATGTAGTGCTGAGAATTGAACCCAGTGCCTCACACATGCTAGGCAAGTGCTCTACCACCGAGCCATAACCCCAGCCCCATGCATCAAGCTTATTACTGATTCATATAATAGTTTTGCTGTTTCAGAAGTTATAAGGCAAGTTATACAGTGTCAACATAAGTCTCATACCCTCCCCTACCATCTTATGTCTTCTTACTTTGTCTGATGTCTTCCAGGTAACCATAGTCTTGTTGCCTTCTGTATTATATTTGATGTGTACTTACTTTGGTTGTAGTCTTGCAACATCTTATGTAAACTGTTTATATACATAATACGACCATGATCCCATTTATTATATGATTTATGTGTTAATAAATCATATAAAGCATCGTCAAAATATGCTCTTGGCATAATAAGCAGTACCTATATAAAATTCATAATGTTTTATACTCTTGCCATGTTTATTCTTGGAAACTCACTGTAATCAAAATGATGAACATATCTTTCACTCTCAAGTTTCCTTATGCCTCTTTGCAAGATGCCTTATGCCTTATGACTCTGTCCCTTTCCTCCTCACACATGTAACTTCTCACAGTGGTGACTGACAGTTTTATGAAGCAATTACAGAGATGCCCTGAAAGACTTGAGTTATCTCGCATGTGTCTATTTCAGCACGCAGACAGACGATGCTCTTTTCTGCCACACAAACTCGAAAAGTGGAAGACCTGGCAAGGATTTCTTTGAAAAAGGAACCATTGTATGTTGGTGTTGATGATGATAAAGCTAATGCAACAGTGGATGGTCTTGAGCAGGTACTTTTTAAAATAAATAACCTAATACTTCAAGGATCTTATTTGGTATTTCCTTGTATGTAGGATGTAGAAAAGCATCCAGAAAGCAAATGGAYTAATGAGCTTTTAACTTAAATATAGTGATATTGTGTATTTGACCCTTCTGGTATAAAATACCCTGAACTCTTAATAAGGAAATACTGGCTCTGGGATGTATAGCTGTAAAGATGGAAAAGCGGTGACGTGAAAGTGGAAACTTTAAGGTTGAGATTTTTGTGAATAAAACATTCCTTGTAATTAGATGAGGCTTAAAAACCTTTGCTTTGGTTGGTTTTGTTTTTAAAAGCTGTCAGAAAGGCTGGGTAGCATATATGCTTTTTTCTCAGTGCTCACAATCAGTATTKTCTCATGGTACTGGAAGTTCACTTGGTTAATTTGTATCTTTATCTGAACCTCTTGTAGGGATATGTTGTTTGTCCCTCTGAAAAGAGATTCCTTCTGCTCTTTACCTTCCTTAAGAAGAACCGAAAAAAGAAACTTATGGTCTTCTTTTCGTCTTGTAAATCTGTAAAATACCACTATGAGTTGCTGAACTACATCGATTTACCTGTCTTGGCCATTCATGTAAGTGACTGTGATGGGCTTATTGAAAATTGATTAGACTTGCTGAGGATGTAGCTTAGTTATAGAGCACTTGCCTAGGGTGTGGGAGCCCTTGGGTTCCATCTGTAGCCCTGGAAAGGGGCAAAAAAAAGAATAGGTTACACTTAGGAAGTTCTATAGATTATGGGATTGGATGTATTGCTCTCTCCTTGAAACATAGTTATAAGTAGTTGAAACATTCCTAGGTGATTGGTCCTGTGTGGAGGGAGCTCTGCTGGTGTGGAAGGGCATGGGCTACAAAGGAGTGAAGGACATGTTCCTCCTCCTGTTGGGGAAATAGAACACAGTCCAGGGATGGCACTTGAAATAAAATAGAATGGCACCTCCAGTTTAGGGTTGCTGCATTTATGCTTCCCAGCAGCAACTCAGAATTCCAGCTCTGATGAATGGTTTTTGGTTTTTATCCATTCCAGGGAAAGCAGAAGCAAAATAAGCGTACCACCACATTCTTCCAGTTCTGCAATGCAGATTCAGGGATATTGTTGTGTACAGATGTGGCAGCAAGAGGGTTGGATATTCCTGAAGTTGACTGGATTGTTCAGTATGACCCTCCAGATGACCCCAAGGTAACTGAGTCTTTGGGGTGTCTTCAGAATGGCTCTATGAGGAGTACATTTATTCTCCATGTTCCCAAGAAGCACCTCATTCATATTTATAAGGGTTAGCCCTACTGTACTGGCRCTGCAATACTTCTCTAGTATTAATAAATGGTTAGGGCTTTGTGGGTCCCAAAGAGAATTTGAGAGGCATTTGTGGTCATAAATTAGGAACAGTAGATCCTTGGAGTAATGTTAAGAACAGAAGACCTAAAGGAAGTAACATAATTGAAAAATGTGGCCACGTGGTAACAGACACATGTGGAAGTCAGTGCCTTAACACAGCATTTTTTCTCTACCCAAGGAATATATTCATCGTGTGGGTAGAACAGCCAGAGGGCTGAATGGAAGAGGGCATGCCTTGCTCATTTTGCGCCCAGAAGAATTGGGTTTCCTCCGTTATTTGAAGCAATCCAAGGTAAAGATCTTTGGTTAGGATAAAAAAATTTTATGGGGTGGTGCGGGATGAATCTTAAATTGGGAACAGAGTCCTCTTGGTGGGGATTGTTAGCAAGTATACATGCCACCTCTAAATGTATCACAGAGATCTGAATCAGGGCAGAACATGGTTAACTGCAGTTGTTCAGCAGGTTAAAAATAATGATATTTACATGCTTCCAACCCAGGAATTACAGACAGAAGGATGGACCACATGGCTCAGCCCTCTAACTGTGTTGTTCAGCTATGCCTTTTATGTCTGTTTCTCCTCTGCCAGTCCTGAAGCCCTATTTAAAACTCTTCCACCACTGTAGGCTCCCTCGCACCTGGTCATCGCTCTCCTACCTCCCTCCCTCCTGCAGTCTTCTCTACACCCCCTCATCTTGGTGTCTTTCATTCTGGCCTCCTGTGAGGCAATGGAGATCCTCAGTCACTCCTACCTCTGCTGCCTCCTGCTTTTTGTCCCTTGTTCTCACCTCCTGGTCTTCGGTCTCCCTCCGAGTTAGCACTTTACCACCAGAAGTCTCTCACTGTAAAGTATAATCTCAGCCCTCAACCCATTCTCTTTATAACTGCCTCCRGGGTGGCTATTGCCTGCGGCCTTTCCTCCGTTTGCCTTATCTAGCCTCATTCCATTCTACCAGAAAAGAATCCATCAAAACTTTAAGTGGTAGTTGGGCGCAGTGGCACACACCTATAATCCCAGCAATTTAGGAGGCTAAGGCAGGAAAGGGGCTGGGGATGTTGCTTAAATTAGTAGTTAGTGTCCCTGGATTTAAACCCTTATACAAAAAAAAAAAAAAAAAAAAAACTTAAGTGGCTTGTTTCTAGATGTTGTGGATGCATGTCAGATCTTCTCTTCCATGACATCTGTCTCCCTGTCAGCCTGCCTGGCACAGTCTTGCCTGGTGACTTTCCTCCCCACTGAAACTTGGTGTAGTTCATGAAATTGCCCTGTAGCCTTTGTATACTTTCTCTAGAAGCTCTTCTGGTTTTCTGGAATGCTCTGATTTCAGCTACTGCTGTCTCTTATGGGAAGCTTTCTGGTTTCCTGCCCTCTGTGTTCCCACAGCACAAGTGTTCATTTATCTGTCTCCTCCACAGGACTGCAAAGCAAGCTCTGTGAGGCCGGAGTGTAGAACTTGGGCACCTGTTTCCCCTCAGTACCTAGCACAGGTCTTGTGCTTTTTATTTGCTTATGATAAATGATAACAAATCCCTCTTGTGGAAGTATGTCGTCATTATGACCTCTGGTGTCACTGGGTCACAGAGCAAGATGGTATTAGAGCCCCTCTTCTTACATAGAAAGAAAGGGCTGATGGTCCTGCTAACTAAAAATTTCAGACCCTTCCAATAATCAGGATGATAGAGATCCCTAGAGAAAAGAACTTACTAGCTCATTATCTCCGTTCAATTCCTCACCTTCTCGATCTTTTAGGAAGAAAGAAATGAAGGCTCCTAGCATGGTTTGTGGAAACTCAGCAGAGTAAATGTGGAACTTTCCATTGACATGGAGAGACTGGAGAAAGCAGAGTTTGCTACCTGTCCTGAGGGAATTCCACAGGGCATCCTTCTCTGTCTTCAGCTTATTAGCTACACTGAACCATGGCTGTCTGGTTCTATCACTTTCCTCACTGTTTATGGAACACTTTACACTTTCTTCATTCATCCAGAAATGTGAATATTGGRTCATTCTGGCTTAATAACTTTTGTACTTCTGTTGTTTTCTAGGTTCCATTAAACGAATTTGAATTTTCCTGGTCCAAAATTTCTGACATTCAATCTCAGGTATGCATCTCCTCCTCCCTTGTATTTCTGAGTAAACAGAAACCTTTACTGTGTTGTCCCTGTGCTCTGAGGCTGCTCTTTTGTAAGATGGGCCCTGTTGTTAAGGTTTCCTGCTGTCCAGTTTCCCACTGCTGTGCTCTTGCTCCTCTCAGTCCACCCCTGAGAGCATTGTTCTCCCCACRGTAAGAATTTACATGTAATCCAAAACCCGGAGCAATGGTATTAGAACAAGTATCTTCTGAAGATGACTTTGTTCTAATAGTTGAGAACTGCTTTTTTTAATTTTATTAAAACCAGTGTTTTCTATTTCAGCTTGAAAAATTGATTGAAAAGAACTACTTTCTTCATAAGTCAGCCCAGGAAGCATACAAGTCCTACATTCGAGCATATGATTCTCATTCTCTGAAACAGATTTTTGATGTTAATAACTTAAATTTGCCTCAGGTTGCTTTGTCGTTTGGTTTCAAGGTGCCTCCTTTTGTTGATCTGAGTATCCTTTTTTTWAAATTAAGTCATCCTGGAACTAAGGGGTAAAAACTTTACCAAGGAACAGGGTTAGTATGTGCTCTGGCAACTGCCCAGAGGCTTGGGTGTTTGTCCTGGTCAGCATCTGCTTCTCTGTACTAGCAAAAGAGTGTAAAAGTATGGTTTATTGAACAGGGGTTAGCCATCAGGATGGGGGTCACGGGAACAAGGCAACTAGTGACTTAAGTGTTGGTAAGATAAAGGACTTTGAGTGACAGTGAGAGGTAGAAGTGGTTGTGCATTCCAGGAAGAAGCACAGAGGTAGAAGAGCAGACATTAGGTGGTTGTCCAGGTCAAAGTTTTAATCGTGTTAGAGCCATTGAATGATCTTAAACAAGGATGAGGCAAATTTGTAAAAGAAAAAAAAAAATGTTGCTCAGGATAAAACACAAAGGGAATAAGACCTCCAATTGATATTGCTGCATTTTATGACATGTGCTTTGTCCTCGAATTTCCATCAAAGAAACCAAGCCAGCTAAGGCAAGGCTTATTCTTTACTGTTAAGGCAGTAGTTCCTGGGGGACTAGATAGAAAACCCTGTTGGGTTGCTGTCCCAGTTGTAGACAATGGGTAAATGTCTGCCTTAATGAGTACATGCTGAATTGGGACAGGAAAAGCAGCTTCCTCACCTGGCCACACATTCCTGAATCAGCTTTGAAAAGAAGTGAAAGTCATTTTGTTGTGATACAGGTTACTTTTTAGTGTGTTCCTTTGTCCTCATAACTCCTTATCTCTTCTTGTTTTGAATTTCGTTGTGTGAAGTCATTAACTGTTACATTTTGTTTTAAAAATCAAAATCATACCTGCTAATTTTAGTCCACAGGTACTTTGGTGACACCTAGTTTTCTGCAGATTTGTCCCAGAAGCTCATGTCCATGTTTTCATTGTTGGGAGGTGATACAGTGCATGCTGGGTTCTCTCTCTGTAGGTGTTAGATTGCAGTTCATCACTTTTGTTGCTTGATTTCCTTAACATTTTCATCTGTAGATGTGAACAGCAGTGAGGGCAAGCGTAAAAAGAGAGGTGGTGGCGGTGGATTTGGCTACCAGAAAACCAAGAAAGTTGAGAAGTCCAAAATCTTCAAACATATTAGCAAGAAATCATCAGACAGCCGGCAGTTCTCTCACTAAAATGAACTTCCTTTCATCTTGAATAACTTTGCCCTGAAATTTTTTTTTCTTTCTCTTCCAAAAGGAATTTTTGTAGCCTTAGATTCTTTTTTATCTCTACGGTGATGAAATTATATTTTGATTTTTAAATACCATATAAAAAAAAATCAAATTATGTCATTGTTTTAATATTCTTGTACTTTATGGTATGTAAAGATTTTATGGTATGATTGCTATAACTTGCTATAGAGAGGGATGTTAATACACTGGACAGGTGGTGTTAATGTGGAAAATAGTCTTGGTTTATTTTTTTAGTTTTGCTTCTGAAAATGTTGGTGTATTTTTATCTAAAGAAACACTTTAGGTAAAAAAATCACTTTTATATATTCCCAGTTTTAAAATGATGAGCCTTTCTCCAGTTGTTTGTTTTTTTAAAGAGTAAGAAATAAAGGTTGTTTACCATTGTTACTTGAATGAAGTGCCCCTAAGCAATCTTCGAATTATGGAGGGAGGGAGAGAATTAAAATTGTTGAACCTCACAGTAATAGAAATGTAATATTCTTTCATTTGGTAACTTAGTTAAGACCTTTTTTAAGAATAAAGAATGGTGAGTCTAACTTCAATTTATTGTAAGGTGGTTTAGAATTTAATAAGCCCTTCCAGCTCTTCAGAGTACTTGGAAGACAAGGCCAACTATCAGTAGACTCAAAACCAAGTCATGAGACAGTGCCCAGTGTACATTAATGYTAGTTTCTTTGTGAGGAAAAAATCTCCAGATCCATGAAAGATAAATTTGTACTGAAAACTGAACATGAACCAAGGTCAGAAAAAATAGCAATCAGCTATTTAATCAGTTGGGATTTTTGTCACAGGAGCCCTTCATTTCTGGTGTTCTGTGTAGTACATAACTACAAAGTAGTTCTATTTTATAGCAATTCAAAACCAAAGTTGCTAGCAGCATTTTGCTGTTGTGCCAGTTAATATTCATAGTGTCATTAATGTAATTATGCAGAGAATATCAAGTGGAGAAGAAACAGTTGGATCAACGTTACAGTAGGAAAGGAAAGAACTATGTTCCACCTCTAGGCTTGGCTGCTGTCTCTTGAGTTTCGGACCTTGACTGCTGAGTGCCTGCCCTGGCTTCTTAGATTCCTAACTCCTACCATTTAATAACTATTTCACTCCTCAGTGCTATTTGTTTATTCATTTCAGAAATGATTATGTTTTAAAAATATATAAGCAAAGGGAAGAATATTTAATCAGTGGTCAGAAGTAATAATGTTGATATTTTGGCATGTAACATTCCAGGTTTTGTATGTGTTTATACATTTTAATTTTTTATCAAAAATGAGGTCATCCTCTACCTACTACTTGTACAACCAGCTTGTTTCATAATGTGTTGTTTTCCTGTGTCATTAAATAATTCCCCCCATTCTTGTAATTCATTTGTGGCAGTGCTTTGTTAATCCTTGCATGGTCCACCAGGATTTGGGTTCTTGGATTCCTGCTTGTCCCAGTCAGAGTCTCTTGATTCATTGTCTAGTGCCCCTATTTGTCTTGCCTTTGCTAACCCCTAGTGTGAGTCAGCCTCCAAAGATTTTGTGAGAAAAGTAAACCTGTTACTATATAACTTGGTTTTAGCCATTTCAGAGTCCTACTGAGTACTAAATGCCATTCTGGTGGCAGGATGATCCAGGCTAGGGACATTTAGACAACCAGACTTGAGCAGCCTGGCCAGGATGCAGATGTGAGGGAGTCTGTTGCCAGATCATGCAAGGCCAGGGCAACAGCATCCTCAGGGCTCATTAGCACAAGAAGTGTTTCTCAGGCTCTCAAGAGCACACCTGACAAATAGCATTAAGTRATGTCATGAAGGTTAGAAGGCAGCAAGGGCAGGAAGCCAACTAGATCACTACATGTAATTAGAAGCCCTGGGGTCTAATAGTCTGCAGTGATGGTTAATCATTGCTGTATCTGAAGTTTTTAGTTTGAGCAGTTTCATGTAAAGCTGGACTAAAGATATCCAAAAAATGGACCTTATTTTTCCATAAATTAATGTTTTTCATAAATTTAGTGCCTGGGTCAAATTCCAGCTATGCCACTTAGAACCTTCTTTGGGCCTATTTCATGAGATAAATGAAAGTAATATTGCTTAATTCGTAAAAAGGTAAGAAACGAATACRGTAACTGGCATGGTGCTCTATATATGTGAGATGTTTCTGCATCCTCTGTAAATAGCTTGCTACCAAACAGCAGGAGTAGCAAGGGCTAACCCAAGATCCTGAGCCCATGTGGGCTCTTTTGGAGTAGACAGGATTTCCAAACAGCAAACTCAGGCCTRGGGAAGTGGTCCAAGTGCAACATCCCTCTAAGGAGGCTATCCAGTAGATGCTGTTTTAGCTTTTGCATCACTGTGACAAAAATACCTGACAAGAACCACTTAACAGAAGGAAAAGTTTATTTGGGGCTCATGGTTTTGAGTTTTCAATCTATAGACTCATTGCTCTGAGTTTAAGATGAGGCAGTACATTATGGTGAAGGGGAGTTGCTCCCCTCATGGTGCCAAGGAAGCACAGAAAAGGTGAGAGCAGCCTCAGGGAAGATGCACCCTGCCGAGGCACACCCCAGGTACCACACCTTCCAGTTTCACCCACTCATACAAACTAGTTTGGACTGATTAGTTTACAACACTCAATCTAATCATTTTGTCCCTGAGTTCCTGCATTGACAGGAGGTTTGGGGAGATACTTCACTTTTTTAGAACCATAACAAATGCCATTTTCAAGGCTACTCTGATTTTACTGTTAGGTGGAGGCAACAACCATGTGCCTTTAAATACTCATGGCTCATCATGAATTACAACTTGCGGAATTGGGATGTAGCTCAGTGGTAGAGTGCTTGCCTAGCATGTGCCAGGCCGTGGGTTTGAGCTCTAGCCCTGCAAAATAAATAAATAAATCTGTTGGGTGTCAGAAACCACAGAAGATATAGACAAATGTGGCCAGGTTCTTCCCTCCTGCYGCCTCAGTTGTCGGGATCAAAATGGGTCTTTAGACTTGCTAAGCAAATACTCTCATTGAGCTACTCCCTCAGTTCCCCAGGTCCCTCTGACAAAGGAGGTGAGTTGTGCTGTAGAGGAGTATTGTCTTCCAAATAATATGAATATGCAGACATATTCTAGCTATTTCTAGGYGTGAAAATCTTGCATCCTTTTTGGATTCCAGTGGACTAAGATTTTCTTGTCCTGCCCCTCCATTCTCCCCTCTGCCCATCCCTCAGGGGAGATTGTGGTCCAGAGGGCTTACATGGGGCAAGGTATCCGAGTGATTTTCATGCAGTTTGCAAACAAGTGAGAATCCATACATATACAGCCTCCTATTAAACTTCCATTTGCTCTGACCTCACAGTGAGAATATCCAACCCAGGAAACAGTGTTAATATGTATAGTCAGCCACAAACTAGGATAGCCCTAGGAGACACATACGCTCTGGTGTTCCAGATGGAAAGAGCTGTGCTTTTGTTTGAATATCTAATGAGGGAAGAAGCATGCCATAGGCAACCTAGCACCCATGGCACCCTTACCTCCCCAAGCAGATCACCAGCTTGAGATCTCAACAGTGCTGCATTCAGTCACTGTCAAAAGGTGTTGACACAGGAGATGAAACTGATTTACTTTGTCCACAAGTCCCTGAGAAGGAAGCCATTCTCTCTTTGGATTCATCATTTTCAACTATAATTTCATGGGGAGAAAAAAAAGTGGGCCTTATTGGTTTCATGGAGCAGCCCAGAATCTTGACTTCCTGTTTAGAAACCATACCATTCAATTCCTAGTTGGATCGCTGAGATATCTTCCCATCAGAAAAGCAGAAATGCCTTCCCTGTAGCCAAGGCAGAACTGTGACCTGGGTTAGAGCAATTAGAAATAACTGACCAGACCCTGAATCAGATACTAATGAATAAAATGAAGGAGCAGTAATAGTGGAAGTGATGGCCTCCTTTCCAGACTCCAGAGGCAGTCTCCACCTCAGAAGCAGGTAGTTTCTGGCTGTGGCACCCAGGTAGCGGCAGGACGGAAAACAGACCGTGTAGCATGACTTGGGTCCTGCCCATTGTGTACTCGCCCTCATCTCTGCCCATTTTTCAAGCTGATTCTCTTCAACCATGTAATATCTTTTCAGTTAATTCCTTTTCAGTCTAGATCATTCATAGTAGCTTTTTGTAGCTCTTAACTGAGAGCCTAGTACATAGTTTCTCAAATTCATTTTGTCTTTGCCTCTGTGTGTAGCTGCCCAGGTTGTTCTCTACCATTCCTGCACTCCAGGCCCAGAGCCTCCCTCTCCTGGGTTCAGGGAAAGAGGTTGATTTCAAAGAAGCACAGGACTTCAAACATATAGGGCAAGGACACATCAAAGGAAGAACAAGGGGCTAACTGACCACCTCTGAGGACAGAGGAAGAAGCTGCTCTGAATCTGGAGGTTTGGGAGGCAGGAAAAATGGGGTCGTCGGCATTGCTCACAGCCTCGAGGGCAGTATCTATAGCTGGAAAAGGGTAGGTGGGATTGTCAGACCCTCAGGGACTGTATTTTCTGGAACCTGGCAGAATTTTCACTGAGGCTTTGACCAAACGACTTCTCTATGTACCTATTTTCTCATCTGCAGAAAGGAAAGAACGATACTTACAAGGCTGGTGTGCACAGAAGGCAGGCAGTCAGCTCTCAGAAACAAGAGCTGTTGAGAGTACCACCAAGAAAATCAGGGGGGAAAGACTGGAAGCCAGACTTCATCTGCTTCTCACACCCTCTCACCACCATCAGAATGGCAAGTTTGGGGCGCTTAAGGCCAAGAGACTGCTAGGAGTTCTTTTTCATGGTTTCCAATGTCCCCAGCAGAGGGCCTCTAAGATGTGCTGAAGCCAAACAGGCCAAGTGCTGCATGGGGCCTGTTGCCCTCTCAGACCTTCCTCCTGAAGGAGGAGTGATTCTCTYTTTTTTTTTTTTTAATTGACAGAAGAGTACTATAAGGGCTTCATTTTCTCCAAAGGAAAGAAAGGACAGAGCAGGGGAAGAGCGGCGACATAGACATGTCAGGCTCTCTCACACTGAGAGCATACATTTGGGACAACATGGAGAAATAAACCTGACTCTAGGCTGGTCTTCTAAAGTGTACAAGTCCTCCAAGCCTCCCAGCAGCCCTGGGAAGGACGGTATCAGCAAGAAGGAAGCAGAAGTCAGAAGAGAGCCTGTGAGAGCCCCTAAGTAAATCACCTGGTCTGCATACAAAGTGCTGTTCTGCCCGCCCAAAGCCAGGGCATCTTCCCACTCTGACTCCACAGCAGGCTGAAGTGGGCTTTTGTCCCCCTGCTTCTCCTGATGGGATGCGGCTGGTGTCCTGAGACACAGGAGCAGCCTGCAAATGCCTGATAGCCTGAGCCCTGACACCACGGGTGGTGCTAGGACAAAGACACAAGGTCCCTTGTTTTCATGAGCTTTTCCATCACTGTGACCAAAAGAATTGAAAAGAATAATTTTAAAGGAGGAAAAGTTTATCTGAGGCTCCCAGTTTCAAAGGTCTCAGTCCACCGTCAACTCTGTTATTCTGGGCCCCAGGTGAGGCAGAACATCAGCTCAGGACATGACGGTCACAGAGAGCCTATGCTGGGCTCACCCCGGACAAATTATATGCCACAAAACTATGGCCCCCGTGACCCACCTTCTCCAACTACTCCCCATCCAGGTACAGTTAACAACCAGTTACTCCATTCAGCTGGATTAATGCACTTATGAGGCTAAGGCTCTCATCACCAAATCATTTCACCTCTAAACTTTCTTGCATTGTCTAACATATGCGCATTTGGGGGATACCTAATTCYGAACCACAACTTCTGGCCTCCAGCCCCGATGCTCCAATAGAGATGGTTAAGATGGTCAGAGACCACAGGAGCAGCATCCTTGACTTCATTCTCATATCATGTACTTGACCATCTAAAAGGAAGAGCCTAGGAATGCAGGATGATTTTTGTTCCACAAGCTCATTGTAAGAAGTATTGGAGGCAAATCCTGGAGGGTGGGGATGTATCATAAAGAAAAATAACCATGTCCAAGGGCTGAGCATTCGAGAAGAGCTTTGAGAACGTGTGAGGGAGTTGAGTCCTGAGGGATATTTAACTGGCTGCAAAGGGGGTGAAGGACACCAGACAGGTGTTCAGATAGTGATTTACATCAGCAATGAGGACGCAGCATTGACTGGTTTGGGGGATAAACCTGGACTCTGGGGTTTGCCCATATTTGAGTTCTAAGGGTGTCGCAAACTAGCAAGGAAGTTCCCTGTGCCTCATCACCATGATTTGTAAAATAAGAACAGTACCATCGCCTTTACTGGCTGCTGTGGGATGGTATGAACTGGCAGAGAGCCTGTGAGAAATG